TGTCATATACATCCAGGAAAGTCCTTGTGTGAGTATGCCCTCAGGCGGGCGGGCGGAGGAGGACGTGGAGACATACACGATCTTGTCAGGTGTGTTGCAGAGAGATTGAGATTGAGATTGAGGAGGCGAGAAAAGTGTTAAGTGTTCTTTATCTTTCCTTTGTGCCGCTGGTATAGCGGGTTTTCACTCAACGGGTTTTTACCTGTGCCACTGGAGATTCACCCTCTTTGGTTATTTTGCCTTGTTGCCTACGCTTTCTGCTCGAGGGATTATCTAGTACTTGTTGCTGCAGACGAACCTGGTCCCATTTTGTGGTAGAGAAAAGGAAGCCTTCCGGCTTCCTTTTACTCGGGGTTTGAACCCTGCCCCCTTTTTAATTGAAGGCTTCGGGCTTCGTTTTACTTGGGTTTTGAACCCCTGCCCTTTTTAACTAAAGGCTTTCGGTTTCCTTTCGCTCGGGGTTTGAACCCTGCCCCTTTTTTACTGTCGTCGGCGAATTTCTGCCACCCCATTTGATGCAATGGGATGATTGATTGATTGTATTTCCATACCCTAAAAAAAAAAAAAAAAAAAAAAGAGGTAAGAACTGTCTACCCCTCTTGTTTGTTTTCCTCTGTCTCTCTTCGTTCTTCGTGTTTCTCTCCGTTCTTCTCTCTTTCTTCTCTCATTTCTCTCTCGTTTCTCTCTCGTTTTTCTCTCGTTTTTCTCTCATTTTTCTCTCGTTTTTCTCTCGTTTTTCTCTCGTTTTTCTCGTGATTTCCTTTGCTCTTCTTGTTCCCCCCCCCCCCTTCCGTTTCTCGGCCTCTGTCTTTCTACGTTCTTCTCTCGTTTTTCTCCGTTTTCGAGAGAGGTAAGAACTGTCTGCCCTTCTCGTTTGTTTGCTCCGTTTCTCTCTGTTTCCCTCTGTCTCTCAGTTTATGATTTTTTTCTCGATGACAGGTTACGAAGCCACGTCTGACTTGTCGCATAAATTAAATATCACATTTTTCTGCCACTTAACAGTATCTCATCACTTGGGGCTAATCCCGTATCCCTCGCGCAAGCATGCATGCTATAAATTTCGCAAGCGCGATTAGTTGTCTCTCTAAGAATCTCGAGGTTAGAGCGATCAGTGAGGGGCGGCTAACGAGTCTGGAAGGTGAGTGAGTATGAGAGTTGGACGATCCGACGAGCTGGTGTCGGGTATGCGGGGTTGACGTGCGGGGCCGCGACGGACTGTGGCGCACGGGCGAACCTGGCTTGCATACTTGGACCAAGCGGGGTGACAACTCTGTGTTGATATGAGACGACAGACTGCCGGTATCTTGGTGTTGATGCGAGGCGACGGACTGCCCACAACGGAAAGAGAGAGATAGAGGGAGAGGAGACGGATCGGGATGGTGTCTTTTCCTTTTGTTTCTTCTTCTTCAAACCTTCTTGTATAAATTTTGGATTTCCGCCTTGGCCAATTTTGTTGCGTCAACTTTGGAGTTTCTTTGTGAATTATTTTACATTTTTGGTGTGCGTCAGCATTTGTTTTCCACTTTATTAATCTTGCATGGTTGACAGTCCGATGAATGCTTGTACTTCCTCACTCTCTGCTTGCGACGTGATTGCCCTTCTTAATTTCTTACAAGATTGGTGGTTTCTGTTTGAATGCATGTTGTCTTTCCTCTCGATCTAAGATACTTGCTCTTGTCGATTCCTCACGTCGCTAAACATGAATGAGTCCGAGGGGAATTTCGTTGTTTTGATGAATGCATGTGTGAGAACTTGGGGCGTAACGGTAGAGCAGATATGTGTATGCAGAAATCGTGATTGTACGGGTCCGTGATTAGTTGTTCGCGATTGACTATTCGGGAGGGACTGAGGGGTCGTGCACGACATGTGCCTTAGAAAGGGGGACGACAGTGATGATGGGTACTAGAAAGTGGCGAATTTTGAATTAAGCTAACCCATATCGTATCTTCTGATTGACCATCGCTTGCGCCCACTCCTGCTCATCCGTAACCAGCCCCTCACTTAACCTTGAGCAGGTCCTGTGCACGCACGTGTAAGCCCGACCGAAAGGGACGGTGCCTACACGTGTGTCTGCAAGATCTGCACGCGGGCCATGACTGCGTTTTCGCCGGATTGACAGGTTGTTTCGCATCACGGACCGAGAAAGTTTGGGGGACTCCGAATATCGAAAATATTGGGAACGAAAGAACGTGTACTTCCTCGCTCAACTTGAACCTCGCCCCGATCCTCCGAGATTCCCTTACCAACAAGGAGACGACCATGTGTGCGACTGGGATATAGGAAGGGCATTGGACGTTGTTCCTTACACAACCCAATTCCCCGAGTCCCACACGAGCCACGTCTTCTCCGAACCTGGGGTCGTCGTCCTAATAACTCACTGCCCACCGTACCGAGTGGTGCTTCCCTTCCATTACCTCATTGTCATCCCGTGGCACGCTATCGCTCCCTATTGGCCTCGAACCCCTTGTTCTGAGTGCCAGCGAGACAGCAAGTACCGAGCCTCGGGGTTCATTCGCCGAACCCGAACGGAGTCTGAACAACGGGCACGCAACCTCCACCTGAGACCTTCGTCGTCTAATTCCGAAGTTTGTAGCGATCAACGACAGCAGTTGATCAGACAACGCGATACCCATAGCGTGCACCCGACAGGCCGCGGCCGACCGCAAGGGAGAGGAAATGGTAATTCCCATCTCTCGGGTCTAAGGCATACGAAACATGGTCGAGATCGACGACAGGGGCAATGCCGTGGGGGACTTTGTTCGAGAATGCAAGAGTGTCTAGATCTGTTAACAACGTGGTCACGTCGGGATTCTTATCCCCGGGATACACTGCGCAGGCCATCTGCCTTATGCTGCAGGACATCAGATTCTGCAGCCTTCCTTTCTTTACACTAAGTTTGAGAGGCGGTCTATTCGCTCGAAAGACCTGAAACGCCGCGCGCGGCCCGCACTTGCCCTCTTGCGCTTTTACCCCCAAAACTTGCCATAGGAGATCTCAGTTTTGTCCTGGGACTCCACCCCCACTTTCCTAAAATCCTTGTCACACCCCCTTTTTCGCACTTCCAAGCCCCCAACCCACTCCGATCAGGAAGTCGCGCTGGGCGTGAGGTTGGGCGTCACGTTATCCCTAGGATCCCCCGATGTGCGTCATTGTCGCTAGAAACACAGGTCAGATCAAATCTTTGAGTCTTCCGTTGCACTACATTGTGCTATTTTCTAATGTATCTGGATGTACATTGCTTGTGGATGCTTGGCTGACGCTGCATTGTCTATACGAGTCCTTTTCAACACTCTGCGGATCCTTGGCTCCCATACATCGCCCAACTGGGCGTGTATCAACTCTACACTCCCGAAGTTTCGAGAGTAACGCCTTGCTCCACTTACTCTAGACTGGAACTCTTGAGGACACCCTTCGAGAGCTGTCAGAAAGGGCTCTCGAAGGGCACTCTCGATTTGTAGTAGAGTTCACAGCCTGCAACGCTCAGGTTTTGGGAAAAGTTCTAAAACCACCCCGCGGCGAAACCTTTGTATTCATTTCCCCCCACACTGGGAAAAAAGTGCCACAGGCCCCAAAATGACTTTCCGCGTTATTTTTGCACCCTGGCTGGGCCGGTAACGCCCGCTGTGCAAAAATGGCGGGAAAGTGTTTTGTAGGTGCAAAAATGACGCGGAAAGTCATTTTGGGGCTTGTGGCACTTTTTTCCCCGTGTGGGGGGAAATGAATACAAAGGTTTCGCCGCCGGGTGGTTTTAGAACTTTTCCCTCAGGTTTTCTAGTGTCCTACCTCCTACCCTGGCCTACCATCAGAACGAGCTAGCGCTGTAGAAGGGCTGTCATGTGGGCCTGAGAAATTTGTGAGTGCTTCTATTGTTCTCGAGTCTTGGAGTAAGGAGCCATGCTTCTTTTTTCAAGAGTTCTAGACCTCTGACAGCTGTAGAATTTTTTCGTCAGTCTAGTGTGGTGGAGCGAGACCCCTAGAGTAGTGCAGCGAGCCCCATAGAGTAGCCTGAGGATGAGATTGATGCGATAAATGCGGAATAATGTCATGGAGAGAAGAACATAGATATAGAACTAAAAAAGAGATGGCAATGTAACTTCCCATGTTATAGGTGTAGATTCAGTCTCATCTTGCTCATTTGGAGAGAAGTTAGTGCAGCGAGGCCCTAGGACTACATGACCACTCTTCGGACCCTGCCTGGATGCATCCGACCATAATAACGTCCACGGAGAACTGGAAAATGTCCTGCTGGTCACCTGGTGCGAGTCTGCCATTGGCCCTCGCTCGCTGCACTAATCTCCAAATGTGCAAAATGAGACCGAATCCACCCGTAGAACATGCGAAGATACATTGCCATGGTTTTCGTCTTTTGTGCATGTGGAGAGTTGTGCAGCAAGGCCCATTATACAGCCATCCCGACCAAAGAACCAAAACAGATGTTGAAATAAAAAAACAGGATCTCCTCCTCCTGCAGGATCGCCACACCACTCTCGAAATGTGCAAATTTAAAATGAACTTGTCGTGAGAACATGGCCGGATGCGCCCGCCACAGTTTTGTCTTTTTCACATTTCGAGAGTGTTGCGGCGAGGCCCACAGTCATGAAAGAGTGTGCGTTGTGCTCGGGGGAAGAGTGGGCGTGGTATCCCGTCCCGGTTCCATGTACCTTCCCCCAGCTGGCCGCCTGCCCACCCGGCGGCCCCCTTCTCACGGAAACTTTTTTTTTTTTTTTTTTTTTTCGGGAAAACTTTTCAGCACGCCCTTCCCCGCGCCCACCAGATGGCTTTCCTGGGTTTTGCCGCCGACAGGCGCATACTGGCTGCTGTCGGCGCCGGCGCGGGGAGGTCCGCGGCTCGGCGGCTCCGCTGCCGGCCCGAACCTGCGGGGCAGGCTGCTCGACAGCCAGCAGCCAAGCTCGCCGTCCTGGCCGGCGGGGAAGGTTCATGCCCGATCAGCGCCGCAACGCAGCGCGGGACGCGATGGTGTGCCCGCCTGTCCGCGAGGCGGGCGCGGCGGATGATCGCCACGTGCTCCTTGAGGGCGGGGATGATCGCCGCTCGCCTTGCCGTGCTGGCAGTGCCACACCGACCCACCTCACTGATTGCCCGCCCATCAGCCGCCTTTTCCTCTTGTGGCGCGCAACGCAGCATCTCAGCAGCACGGGCGGTCCGCAGCAGCTCTCCTCTCTCCTGCGTCGAGTTGAGCACAGGCCGAGCAGCGCGCTGCTGCGCCGGTCTTCCTTTCCCCCCCCTCCCTTACCTCTATAAACTGCTGGCATTCCCGAAGCTATCCTAGTGTTTCTAGCGAGAAGCACGAGCTCTGCTATGCTATGTATTTTGTGTCGGCTTTAGTGCGTCTTATCGTTGTGACGTCCGGTCCGGTCCGGTGATCTCTACTTGGTGGGCTGTTCGTGGAGTGGGTAGTATTATTTTTTTTTCCGATTCCTTTTGTTCTCATCGGGACACCTGCACCTCGTCGCTCTCTGCGCTTCACAAACGGTATCTCCATGTCTCAATCCCTCCCTCTCTCTTCTTCTTTACTCGATCTGTCCTCTCGATAGACGAAGAGTCTGACGTGTATACTAGTTGCTGTTCAATCCTCCGCACTGTGCCCACCTGCAACATTCACTCTCATGATTCTCATCTACTCAAACGACTCAAAACCATTGGCACATGAACATTGAGCACTGCACACAAACTCGCGTAACTAACATTGTCCCCCCGCATTCAGTCACAACGTCGCCTTTGGTGATCGTAGGTCGTGAGTCTGAGTCTTTGAGTCTGGTGACTTGCTACCATCCATCTCAAGAGTCATAGGCTCAAGAGTCTGCAATCTGCAATCTGTAAGTTAAACCCGTCAGCGGTCGTACGTGTACGGCTGGCGCTATTGGATCTGCACCGCGTCTGCACCGTCCGCGGACCGTCACGGTGTTAAGAGTTGCCAGCCACTCTATTGTATTCTCTCTTGAATGAGCTCTCGCCATCAGGCACAGAGTAATCATCTTGTCGTCCGTGCTTCGTTCGCTTTTCTCGAGAGTTCTCGAGAGTTATCGAGAGTAGAAGACTGTGTTTGGTATCTCTCTGCTCTCTGCTCTCTGCTCTCTGCTCTCTGGCTTCCGTTCTCGATCTTTCTCCAATTGCACTACGGAGTGAAGGGACGTCACGTAGAGGACCAGGTAACGGTAGCGATTGAGGGGCGGAAGGGGGGAGGAGGAGGCAGATAGGGCCAGAGAACGGTGCAGTTGAAGGGACTGAAGGAGGGAGTCCACGGTGATGAATGCGAGGAGAGGTACTTTTTTTGGTTGTCGTCTCCGAAGCCGAGACGTCGCATCAGTAGTCACTTAACTTTTTTTTTTTTCTTTTTTTCTTTTTTTGGGAAAAGTAGTCAATTAACTGGGTAACAGAGGGCCTTGCACATTCATGCAGTAATTTTCACAGTTAGACCGAGTTGACATTCACAGACACACACACACACACACACACAGAGAGAGAGAGAGAGAGAGAGAGAGAGAGAGAGAGAGAGAGAGAGAGAGAGAGAGAGAGAGAGAACGCAGGTGGAGAAAGAGGAGGAGGAGTGACGCAGCGTGAGAGGCTTTCAGAGGCGGTCACGATGCCGAATCCTCGTGTGTTCTTCGACATTTCCATTGGCAACATACCGGCTGGAAGGATCGTCATGGAGGTAATGCACTCGATATTCCAAATGATGCTGTGCTTCACTGTTCTCGTCTCTCCGGCGTGTCTGTTTCAAATTTGTTGACGTCACTTAAGAATCATGGGAAAAAAAAAAAAGGAATGGTAAGATAAAAAAAAGTCGCTGCGGTGTGACAGTCTTCTTTTTTCGGGGTCTGGTGTTTCGACATTTTCTTCTTCTCTGTGGAGGATAGATACGGCAATGTTTTTTTTGTCCTTGGTTTTCTGGCTTATTATAGGTATCGTATCTCTTATTGCCGCCGCGATAACGATGATTCTTCATGTCTGTTTTTTTAATCGAGTGGGAGAGTGCGATCTTCGTGTGGAGCGGCATTTTTCTTTTTCTTTTTCTTTCTTTTTTATTTGTTGAGGTGGTTTTACAGTTCATTTGGGATAAATGTCTTGACAAAAATGAATGTGTTAATTCCAATCCGAGCGAAGCTTTCCTTTTTTAGATTAATGTGTTGTGACTGTTGTCTCGATATAACGATTTTTTTTTTTTTAATCTGGAATGAACAAATTCGAGGATTTCAAAAATCTTCACTCGGATTGAGTCTATGATAGAGATCGACTGACTACTTTCTACACGGACTCACGGAGACGCAATCGTCGCAATGTGAAGGTGCTGCTGTGTTGATGTGATGCCTATCAGCGTTATGCACGTAGCATGTTCTCTCCTCCTACCCCCCCCCCTGTCTCTTATACACATCTAGATGTCACTGATTACACT